AGAGAAAGCATCTGGCGACTGATGCAAGAGAGCTGAGCTCCCATGAACACTAGTTCAGTGTCTGCAGGACAGCCACCCCCCCACCCCAAAATGCAATGCACACCCCGGGGACTCCCTCGATCTGCGCTCGGAATCTCTCTCGGACAGGTGCGTGTCAATGTTAATACACAACGTGATAAAGTCCGTCAGGGCTGCTGGCGTGGGGGTCACCAGCGCCAGTTCACCGTTAATGCGGGGATGAAGTCCCTGAGGGAAGTGGAACCAACAGGCAGCTTCATTTCACAGGGTGTCAGCAGCCCACCGACGGAACTCTGAGGCGTACTCGGTAACTGAGCGAGCCCCCTGCCAGAGGTTCTGCAGGGCCATCCCAGCAAGTGCTGGAAGTAAACAGGCATGTGACAAACAACAGTCATGCCTGTTCCCTTTTAAGGTGGAACGGAACCATATCCTAACATCCCCCCCCTTTCTGTGTAACCTGTAGTACCTATGGTTCAACCAAATTGCAACCTCTGTACATAAACCTTAATTTGTTCTCTGTTAACAACCTTAAACAACAGATCAGCAGGAATTTCATTTCCTGGCATGTAGGACACCTGAATGAGTCATTTCTGAATACACTCTCTTGCACGATGTAACTTAATCTGCAAGTATTTGGTTCTTTGCTTGCAACTCTCTGAGTTCAGCAAAGCCAAACAGGATCTATTGTCTTGATACACCTGTATAGGACATTTCACAGAAACCTTGATGTCCTGAAACAGTTGCATCAACCACTCACAATCCATGAGAGAAAATGACAGGGCATTGAGTTCTGCTTCACAGGAACCTCATCATCTTCTTCATCCTCTGAGTGACTGGAAAATTCCCACATTTTCCCTCCACTTAGGATTGTATTCAACACTCTTTGTGAACCTCACGGTCTTAGAGTCAGTCATGAATACCCTGTGTGCATCTTTTTCGTACCCCATGAATAAACCATGTGCCCCACGCTTTCCAAGCTTGCTGCTCTGTGGGGTGTGGACCCACATGTCAGAACCAAAGATTCTCATGTGCTTGACATAAGGTTTCTTACCAAACATCTTCTCATAGGGAGTACAACCAATAGGTGATGACAGTCTCCTATTATACGAATAAAAGAAACACGATAAAGCTTCAGCCCAATATTGATCAGGGAGATTGGCATCATGCAACAAGGTTTTTAGGCCTTGCAGCAAAGTCTGGGTAGCTCGCTCGCAAAGTCCATTCTCCCATGGAGATCTGGGGCTTCAGAGGTCGTGCTGGATTCCCTTCTCAGGCAGGAAAGCTTCAAACTGCTGAGAAGTGAATTCACCACCTCGATCAGAAAATAAACAAGCAATGCGTTTATTGTGGGCATTTTCCAACCAAGCACAGAACGCCTTGAACCTAGGAAACGCTTCTGACTGTCAGCGTCGCCACTTGAGCCAGTGCCACGAACTGGACTCATCCACTTCAGCCCCGACTGGGCTAGGCGAGCTGGGTAGCACTTCCAGAGACCACCTTCTGCACAGGAACAGGTCAAAGTGCTGTGGACTCACAGCTTAGAGTTGTGAGCACTGGATTCACTGCCACAAGAAGACAGTCGTCGCACAGCAGAGTATAGCAGAGTATAGCAGAGCATAAACCACTCTGAGAGCAGCTCTGTAGAATATCTTCTTTATTCTATCTACAACTATAATACACAACTATATACAGAGCTAAATGAGGTCTAAACAAAAATGCTGAACTGCACTGAGTGTCTGCAGCTGCTCTTAGCAGCAACCTTATCTATACACACGATCTCTCTCTAACACTCAGTCTCTCTCTCCCCGACACTTTAATGTGAGGCTGGAGCGGAATAAGTAGAGAGCAGAAACTGCCCCTCCTCTCTGGAGAATCAGCAGAGCACATCAGCAGATTCTTGGATATGGGAGGGGTGGAATCTCCTCACTGACTTCTGCTGGAGCATAAACACAAGAAGGAGGAAAACCTGAGCTTACAGGGTTAAACAGCTCAGACTGTACGCCCTGCCTACTGGTGGGAGGGGGGAAATGCTACGTCAGTTCCGAGAGACTAAAGTCTTTGTTCTGTCTCTCTACTTTCGCTTTTGAGGAGAGAGGACGTGTTTTCGCGATGCTGTTCGCTGTGATAGATAATGGATAGCCTGCTGTAAATAAAGCTGCTTTTAGCTGCTAAGATCCTGTGTGGATTTTGTTTAAGCACACTGAAGAAGGCCCTGGAGATTTTTGTGTTTGCAGCTTCCTCTTACCGCTGTTGAGACTCTGCTATGCTCAGATGAGTCGGACTCTTGGAATGCAGAGGCCTACGCAATGGGGGAAGCGTGCCGGACGCTTATCTGAGCAATAAATCAAGATATCCGAGAGGTTATGGGGGCAGTAATTGCAATTAGAGGAAGCCTGCTTTGATGTGCTGTGTGCTTAAGAAGGCTGGAAAACTGAGAAGCTGTTGTTTTGCTGCTGGAATGCAAAAGTCCTGCTTTGAGGCTTTGCCTGGGAGAAAGCAGGAAAGCTGGATGCAAAGCTGTGTGCTGCAAAGCTGAATGCAAGCTGTGTGCTGCAAGGAGCCACTGGAGGCCTCTCCTTTGAAGCTGGCTGGTACGCGTGAGTACTTCATCACCCCAATGGGAACACTGGGGGGAGATGGCTGAGCTCCAGGACTTTTATGATGTCCCGTTTGAAAAGCTCACAACCCAGTCCTGGGATATCTGGGTTAGAAGAGTCAGGGGGTGGTTTTTGGCCACAGGGTTCTGGGATATAACCCAGAAGGAGCCCGCCCCACCCATGCCAGTTGCTGCTCAAGAAGGAGGAGCAGACCTGGAGGCTGCACTCCTGGAAGATAGAGAGCTGAGAATGCAAAGGGAGCTCTGCATGTTGAGAGCAAGCGTGGACGCTATGCTGTTGCCCCACCTGGAGGGCATTGAGTCGGCTCAGGCCGCCTGGCAGGTGCTGAGGAGTCTGTGTGAGAACTCAGCAGGAGCCCAGGGCCGGGAGAAAGCCGAGAGCAGGGAGGAAGCTGAGAGCCCAGAGGGGGCTGCTGGCCATGTTCCAAAAGTTACAGCTGGGAGTAGCTGCTTTGTCTCCGAGGGGCCGTGTGATGTTGAGGCCTACAACCAGAGTGCTGGGGAGCGTGCAGGCCCAGGCTGTGCACCCAAAGGTGGGGGTGCTGGGAACAAAGAAATGGCTGAAGAAGGAGCTGTGAGAGCTGTTGCTACGCGTCGCCGCTGTTATCGCTGTGGCTCCCCTCCCATCTGGTGAGAGAATGTCCAGTGGAGGAACAGCCCAAGGCCGTCTCCCGTAGCAACCAGATAAAGAGCTCTTCTTCAAAGCGTGGGAAAGGCAAGCCGAAGGCAGCTGGCAGAGACACTGAACGTAAACATTTGGCTGCCTCTATGGCTGTAGTCAAGAGTTGTCAACAGGATGCAGAGCTGGCTTTTGTGATAGACTCAGGATCATCTCATCATCTCGTGCCATCTGGTGGATTCCTGGAGAACTGCACCTCTGTGAAATCTGGGAAGACTGTCTGTTTAGCAGATGGGACTCGACACCCACTCACGCAGAGTGGCTCACTGTTTTGTTCTTTCTTGCAGGACTCTATCCAGGCTTTTGTTGTTCCAGGACTGTCCTGCGCGTTGCTGTCTGTCAGTGCACTTCTTGCTGAGAACTACAGAGTGTGTTTTGAGAACAATAAGTGTTCTATTTCCAAGAATGGACAGCACCTAGTCAGTGTTGAATGTAAAGACCGGTTGTTTGTGATAAATGCTTCTTTTGCAGGTCCAGATGACACGGATGACACGGAGGAGGCTCAAGCGCAGTGTGCCAATGTTCCAGTTCATGATGCGTGTCAACATCTCTGGCACAGACGTATGGCACACGTTTCGTGGGGGTCGGTGAGAAGGATCCCAGAGTATACGCAAGGGTGCAAAATGAAACCATGTGCTAAGTTTCTAGATTGCAGAGCGTGCAAGTCCGCAAAGGTGAAAACGTGCACATACCCTAGGTCTGAGAGGGTGACCACTAGGGCTTTTCAATTAATTCATGCAGATTTGTGTGGTCCGTTTTCTGTGAGCAGTTTGGGCGGAGCCAAATATTCGCTGGTTCTGATTGATGACCATACTAGGAATTCTTGGAGTTTTTTGCTTCGGCGCAAAGATGAAGCTGCGCCGCTAATCAAAGACTGGATTGCGGCTGTGGAACTGCAGTTTTCCACACGGGTGCAAAACTTTCAGAGCGATCGCGGTGGGGAGTTCACCGGGTCTGCACTGCAAAGTTTCTTCCGCAAAAAGGGATTCAACACAGGATGACTTCTCCACACAGTCCCCAACAGAATGGGATCGCGGAACGCAGGAACAGGACTCTAGGGGAGATGTCCGCAGCTCTTTTGTTTGATGCCGGGCTCCCACAGCGCTTTTGGGGGAGGCTTGGCGAACGGCCAACTTTGTTCTGAACAGGTCGTTCAATTCAGTGGTAGGTGACACACCGTATTTTTGCTTCATGGCAAGAAACCGAAAGTGCACTACTTTGCGTTTTTGGCTGTGAGGCTTAGGTCCCCCATACCAAAGGCCAAACGCCAGAAAGGTGAACCCAAGTCCCACAGATGATTTTTTGTGGGTATGAGCCAGGGGCCAAGGGGTGGAGGTTTGCTTATCCGTCAGGGGATCAGTCCAGGATTCTGCTCAGCAACAGTGCTGAATTCTGTGAGCAGAGTGGCTGGGCAAGGATACATGGGAACCCTGACATCCTGTCAGAGAGTCTGCTAGACTCTGCTGATGAAGGAGAGGAAGAGGTTGAACCTGCTACTGAGGCTCAGAGTCCAGGCCCAGTGCAGGCAGAGGGAGAACTTCTCCCAAGGCTGTGAAGAGTGAGCAACGCAGTGCTCCATCTTCCCCACAGGTTCAGCTGAGAAGTCCAGAAGGCGCAGTAAGTCAGAGGGGGGAGCTCTCTGATGCCAAGGACGTTCTGGCTGGCCCTAGTGGGTCAGAGGGGGTTCCTGAAGTAGTGCTACGCCGTTCAACACGGACGACCAAGGGGAAACCTCCTGAAAGGTTTGCCGTCACTAGTGTGTGGGTCGGAATGGCACAGTGTGAACCCGAGAGTTTTGAGGATGTTCAGAAACTTCCTCAGGAAGAAGCCAGGAAATGGCATGAGGCGATACAGAAGGAGATGAACTCAATGGAGTCTCTAGGTGTGTTCTCCCTCACGAAGTTGCCGGTGGGTGAAAAGGCAGTGGGTAGTCGCTGGGTTTACCGTCTTAAGCCCACAGCGACAGGAGAACCGCAGTATAAGGCCAGATTAGTGGCGAGAGGATTCACGCAGCAGAGGGGGTTGCATTATACGGAGAGTTATGCGCCCACGTGTAGGAGTGAGTCTCTACGCTTGGTCTTGGCCATCGCTACACAAAGAGGTTTGCTGGTGCATCATTTTGATGTGGATGTTGCTTACTTGAACTCAGACCTCCAGGAGGATCTGTACATGCTTCCTCCTCCAGGGTTTGAGGGCAATGAGCGAGGTACTGTGTGGAAACTTCACAAGTCAATTTACGGCCTGAAGCAGTCGGCCAGGAATTGGAACTTGTGCCTGAATGAAGCTTTGGAGAAGCTAGGTTTCAGGAAGAGTCTTGCTGACAGTTGCCTGTTCCTTAGAGGATCAGGAGACTCACAGGAACTGGTGTTGTTTTACGTTGATGACATCATCCATGTTGGAAAGGCAGACAAACAGGTGCAGAAGTTTGCCAAAGAGCTTGGGAAACGGTTTCAGCTCAAGAACCTGGGTGCAGTAAAGATCTACCTAGGTGTCCAGATAGCGAGAACTGAGGATGGTAGCTTCTTGCTCAGTCAGAAAGGCAAGATTGAGCAGTTGCTGGAGAAGTTCAGAATGTCCGATTGTGCAGGAGTTCGGACACCCATGGAGACGAACTTCGTGAAAGATAGCCAGCAAGCAGAAAGTGCTGAGTTTGAGAATGCTGAGCTCTTTCAGTCAGCTCTAGGCAGTCTGTTGTATCTGTCCCAATGGAGCAGACCAGACATTGCCTTTGCTACCAACCTGCTAAGTAGGGAAGCGTCAAAGCCCAGTGTGAGTGCTTGGCACGGTATCAAGCGGGTACTGCGTTACCTGCAGCATACCAAAGACTTCTGTCTTAAGCTGCCAGCTGAAGGTGAGGCGAAGCTCACATGCTATGCGGACAGTGACTGGGCGGATTCGCAGGACCGCAAGTCTGTGTCTGGGTTGGTGATAAAGTTTGGGAAGTCACTGGTTGGGTGGAAGTCCCGGAAGCAAAGTCTCATTGCGCTGTCTTCTACTGAGGCTGAATTCAGTGCACTGTCATATTTGTGCCGAGAACTTGAGTTCTATAGATGCTTGGTGCAAGAGATCTATGGGGATTGTAGCTTGCCCATCACGGTTTGGGAAGACAATCAGCCTTATTTGAAGTTGGCTGAATCTGCGCAATTTAAGGCGAGAACCAAGCATCTGGACATACGTTTCCGAAATGTGTGTCAGAGTGTTCAGTCAGGTTTGATACGACTGAAGTACTGTGCCAGTCACAGTAACCTGGCCGATGGATTTACCAAACCTTTAAGCTTCCAGCGTCATGGGGAGTTTTGTGGTGGTTTGGAGTTGGGGGTAAGTTCTGTACTTACTTTCCCCACAGTAGCGCAGGGCGAGAGGGGGTGTGAGGAAAACCTGAGCTTACAGGGTTAAACAGCTCAGACTGTACGCCCTGCCTACTGGTGGGAGGGGGGAAATGCTACGTCAGTTCCGAGAGACTAAAGTCTTTGTTCTGTCTCTCTACTTTCGCTTTTGAGGAGAGAGGACGTGTTTTCGCGATGCTGTTCGCTGTGATAGATAATGGATAGCCTGCTGTAAATAAAGCTGCTTTTAGCTGCTAAGATCCTGTGTGGATTTTGTTTAAGCACACTGAAGAAGGCACTGGAGTTTTTTTTTTTGCAGCTTCCTCTTACCGCTGTTGAGACTCTGCTATGCTCAGATGAGTCGGACTCTTGGAATGCAGAGGCCTACGCAATGGGGGAAGCGTGCCGGACGCTTATCTGAGCAATAAATCAAGATATCCGAGATGTACCTGGAAAAAGAATCAGTTAACACCATGAAGTACCTTGCTCCACCCAGAGAGGGCGCAAGTGGACCAACCAGGTCTGAGTGGACTAGCTGATAGGGTTTGGAAGCCTGTCTTGTTAGAGGGGGGTTTTCCTCTGGTGGCAGATGACAGAAGTTATGACACCACAAGACTAGTATAAAACCAAATTAAATAAAGGTTTTATTACAAAACAACAAACAACAAAGCTTGTGGGTGTTTTTCCTTGCAGGCAAAGTTCAAACTGCAACTTTTCCTCCTTTTATAGTCATGACCAGCTGTACCCAATTTGCTCAGAGCTCACATAAACAGTTCTTAAAGGTACAAACATCTTTACTGTTTCTTTGCAGAATGACTCCCAACACCCCCTCTCGTTCAAACAGAAACAGAAAGCAAAACAGTACTTTAAACATATACAAAACATATTTATACATCATGCACAACAATTCCTAATTTTGTCACTAGTTGTGCATGTTTCTCAAAAGTTAGTGCTTTCGTAAATATATCAGCCACATTTTGCATGCTCTCACAGTATTTTAGCGTTATCGGGTTTTGTTTAACATATTCACTTACATTTTGATACTTAATTTCTAAATGTTTGGATTTATTTTTAAACTGCTCAGACCCAGCCAAAGTTATTACAGCTTGATTGTCTTCCCATATTTGAACTGGATAATCACATTGTATATCTAAGTCATTGAGGATTTAAACGTAATATTTAATTTCTTTACACAACTCCGATAAAGCACAGTATTCAGTCTCTGTTGAAGATGTGGCCACGATTCCTTGCTTTTTGGACTTCCAACCTATCAAGGAATCCCCAAATTGAAACACCATGCCAGAAATGGATTTTCTATCAGGCAGGTTGGCCCAATCACTGTCAAAGTAACACTGCAATTTTGTAGACCTTGAAGATGGTAATCTTAAACAATAATCAAGTGTATGTTTTAAATACTGGAAAACACGTTTTAAACCCTTCCAGCCATTTTCTGTGGGATAGCTTACTAGTCTACTCAGTATTCCAACTGCATAACTCAAATCTGGTCTGCTCCACAATGAAATGTATAATAAACTTCCAACTATTGAATGGTACATTTCAGGATTTACTGGTTCTGTGCATTCTCCTTCATACTTGAAAAAACCTATTTCCATTGGGGTTTTTACTCCCTTGCTATTTTGCATATTCTTTCTTTCAAGTAATTCCATTATTTTATCTTTTTGACTCAACAAAAAACTTCCATTGTTTGTCCTTTGAATTTCTAGACCGAGATAATTTTTTACTGGACCCAAATCTCTTACTTAAATTCCTTTCTTAGTTGTTCTGCAAATTTTTCCACTTGCTTGTCATTTTTTGTAGAATAAAGCAAATCATCAACATAAGACAAACATAATTCTTGTTTATCACCCTTTCCTTTAGTGTACAAGCAGTTATCAGCTAAGCTTCTTTTAAAGCCAAGATTTTTTAAAGCATTATCAAGACACTCGTTCCAATTTCTAGCTGATAGTTTGAGCCCATAAATTGCTTTGTGTAACCTATATACAGAATTCTGTTTGCCTGCCTCAAAACCTGGTGCTTGATACATAAAAATTTCTTCGTGCAGATTTGCGTTAAGATAAGCTGTTTCAATATCAAAATGATTTACCTTAAACCCACGTTGTGCTGCAATAGCTAGCAATAAATGTACACTTTCACTCCTTGCAGTAGGAGAATAGGTTTCATCAAAACTTTCACCTTTTCTTTGCGCAAAGCCTCGTGCTACCAGCCTAGCTTTGTACTTAACACTACCATCTGCCAATTGCTTTATTTTATACACCCATCTACAGTCCACTGCCTTTTTTCCTTCTGGCAATGGCTCAATAGTAAACACATTATGCTCTGCTAAAGATTTCGTTTCTGCTCTCATTGCATTTTTCCACATTACTATTTCCTTGTGTGGTAACTTTAAAACCTCATAATCACGAGGTTTCTTCACATCAATTGCTTTATTGCTTCTTTAATTTCTTCTTCCTCTATTCTTTCATTTAGCCGTTGCTTCTTCTCTGTCGGAATTTGTTGCACTCCTTTCTGTTTCAAGAATTCCTCTGTCTTTTTTACATCTTCCTTTCCAGTTTTTTTATACAGTTGTTTATAAAAGTTAACAAATCCTTTTCTAATTTCTTTCGGATTTTCTACTTCTTTTCCATCCAATATTATTTTATTTATTGTACTTTGAGTTTTCCTTTTTTTAATTTGCCACGCCAACCATTTACCTGATTTGTTGCCATGTTCAAAATTCTTTTCTCATTCTTTTAATATTCCATTCCACTTCTTGATTGATTAACATTGCAATTTGGCTTTGTAGCATCTTAATCTTTTGATTAATTCTTAAATCTCTTGAATTTTTTATTAGTTTTTTCTCATTTTCCATAATCTGATTTAAGATCTCTTTTTTGTCCTTTCTCTCTAAATTTATTCCTGATGCTATTTTGTTGTATAAAGAAGCCTCACATAACTGCTTTACTAGCGTCCCAAACAACACTTATTTTAGTTCCGTTATTACAATTATTTACAAAATATTCTGTTATCATCTTTTGAGCCTTCTCATTAATTTTTTCATCTTCTAACAAATTTTCATTCAATCTCCATCAAAAGGTCTTTACATTCAATTCTTTTATTTCGCATCTAATTGCATTATGATCCGAAAATATATTTCGTTGTATTTCTATTTTTGTTACTCTGGGTGTTAAATCACTGGAAAGCCATACATAGTCAATTGTAGAAGCTGATTGATTTGGTTTTGAGAAATATGTAAATTGCTTGTCTAATGGGTGTCTCAGTCTCCAAACATCTATTAAGTTACAATTCTCTATCATAGAGAAAAAGGTCCTTGGTAACTTCCCTTCTTTCATATTCTCTTTTTTCCTAATTCTATCCATTTCCAATGAGACTACTCTGTTCATGTCTCCCATAATTATAATTTTTTGATCCATAAATTCAAACAGTTTTTCTTCCAAGTCTTTGTAAAATTCCATCTTACTACCATTAGGTGCGTAGATTCCGACAATTATCACTTTTTCACCTTGCCACATGCCTTGTACTGTTATTACTCTGCCTTTTTCATCCTTAAAGATTTGTCGAGACTCTATTTTATTTTTTATATACATCACCACTCCTCTCTTCTTACTTTCATCAGATGAGATAAACTCATTTCCTAATTTTTTGTTGATCAGTACTCTTCTATGTTTTCTAGCTACATGCATCTCTTGTAAGCAGATAATATCCAAATTCTTTTTTAACAAAAAATGTCCAATTCTGCTCCTTTTATTTTTATTGTTAATACCATTTACATTCCATGTCCATAATTTCAATGCCATTTTGGCCTCCTTTGTAGTAAAGTTCTTAAGGTTCTTAAACCTCTCCTCCGCCTCCTCCTCCTCCTCCTCCTCCTCCTTCTTCCTTTTCTTCTGATTTATTAATGTCTTCTCCCTCTAGTTCTGCTGCTGCTGCCTCTTCTCCTTTTCCCAACTCTTTATATCGTCTCAGAAATTTGTGTGTCTCATCCACATTCTTAAATTTAAATTTTTTCTCCTTATAGTAGAATGAGATTCCTTCTGGAAATTCCCATTTAAATTCAATACTGTTTTTCCTCAAAATCTGTGTTAATGTCCTATATTGGTCGCGTTTCTTTAACAACCGAAGTGGGGTGTCTTTAAATATGATAGTAAACACTCCATCAATATATAATCTTTTTTCTCTATTCTTCTGCAAAATCAGATTTCTCATTTCTCTATCTTTAAATATAATCAAACAGTCTCCTGGGAATTTATTTTCCTTTGTTGTTCTTGTTTTAATCCTAAATGAGTTTTGAATTGTTTTTGCCACGTCTTGTGCTTCCATGTTTAGCCATTGTGGAATTTCTGTTATTTAATTTTCCAAAATATGTTCTCCTTGTGTTTGTGGTACAGATCTCAATCTCAAATTTGTTTCTCTCTGCCTCAGTTCATTCATAGCAATCACATCCCATAACTCTTCTTGTGTTTTGTTGATTTCTGAAACTTCTGTCTTAATTTTTTCCTCTTCTTTTATAATATATCTTACTTCTTGCTTTATCCGCTTCATTCCTTCCTCCAAACTTTGTGTTCTTTTTGTTATTTTCTTCAACTGGCCTTTCAGTTCTTCAACTGTCAAATCATATATTTGATCCATTTGCTGCAGTCTTGTTTCAATATTTTTTTCACTGTTTTATGTCCTTTTTTATTTCTGCAAACATTTTCAAAATTTCACTTTTATTCTCACTTTCTTGTTTCGACGCTCTCCTCTCTAGTGGTGTCCCTCCATCTCCTACCTTCTTTTTTCTGCCATTACTTAATTGTAGTTTTATAACTAATTGTAAATTTGTAATTGAAATTACTTAATTGTAATTCCCCCTTTCACCACTAGATATCACCACAGCAGTTTTCTTGCCTCTTAAATAGCTAATCCACAATTTCAATGAGTGAGCCCCAAAACCACCCAGTTGAAGGTTAAAATATAGATATAAATTGTTGCCTTCTGCCTCTTGTTTGGCCTATCCTTAGAAGTCAGCAGTATTAATAATTAATAATAAAAAGGAGAGGGGGGGGAAACAAAAAAACCAAACAAAAAACAAAACCCCTTGTCCACCAACAAAGGAAAATATAGAACCAAATATAAAACAAAACACTTCTTCAGCTGCTTGTCAGCCTAATTCCACACTCAGACCAATAATCCACCAGTCAAAAGAGGAGGAAAATAAAGAAGATGCCAATCCAATAATCCAAAAATTATCCAGAAAGCAGAAGGGAAGACAGTGTATTTATCAAAAGGAGGATAGGAAATTTTCTCTAGACGCCAGTCCTCTAGCTCTAACAATCCACACAAAGAAGGAA